GTAGGGGTAGGAACAAGAATATTATCCATCTTCCTTTCAAATCTCTTTATCCCTATAATCTCAATGTCAGCTTGCAACTCTTGAAGCAATTGTTCTTCAGTAAGTTCAGTAGGCACTTTAATTATACCTTGTGACTCAAGATGATCGTATGGGATCCTTGCGATCCATCCATGGGTTTTTTGAAGTTTGCTATTCATGATGAAGTTATTAGCATCTGCTTTGGATGAAAAAAATACTTTTATGATGCGTAATCCAACAGGTCTTACATATGAAACACCTTTCACCGATTTCAAAATTTTGTTTATTTTTGACAGGTCCAGTTTTGTAGAGGAGGATTCATCAATGGATGGGGCCATAGAAAGCAACACTGGATAATGTTTTTTCCCTTCTTCTTTATAAATATGATTGTATTCCTTGAACAGTCCTCTTTTTGTCCTATTAAAATTTGCCGCCATTTTGGCGGGAGGAGAATTTTCCCGAATTGTGGCTTTTCTTTTGGTGGCAGAAATCCTGCCACCACTGTCGTCAGTCATCACAATTGAAAACTTAGATTGAATTGACCAATTGAGTCTAGGCAAAATAAGTTATAAAAGAAGTAAAAAGGGCTAATAAAGAATTTCTACAAATTAATTTTGTAATTTGCGCCCGTACACTTCAAAGTTCGCGCCCTTTTTTTTCAGTGGTATTATTCTTTTTCTTTTTTCTTTTTTATAAAAACATAATAAAACCTCAACACCCCCTTTCAATGTTAACTTCTCTAAGTTAAGAGTGCACATATAAAGTATTGGAGTTCCATCAATGAAATTAATAAAACTTTCTCACAAATAATACACAACTAAGAAATAATTATATTTAAGAACTATATGTGAATGTGAATATTTCTACTATGTTCTCGTTAGTTGTAACATAACTCATTGTAAACATGTTTTTATTGAAACAATCTTTAATAAAATGATATTTTATATCTATGTGCTTGGTTCTTTTGCTGTTTCCGTTGCACTCAATCATTTTTAAAGTGATTTTGTTATCGACTCGTAGGTATAAGCTAATATCACTGTGCCCAAGATTAGAGAGTATACCTTTTAAGTAGGCAAATTCCGAAGTGGCCATGGCTGCTGCCACGTACTCCGCCTCTGTAGTTTATAGAGCGACTGTCTGCTGTTTCTTCTTAAACCAAGATACTAAATTACTATTGTGGAAAATGGCACAACCACTTACGCTTTTCTTGTCTTCCTTGTTGCAAGCCCAGTCTGCGTCGTTATAACACACCAACTGTTTTTCTTGTGCTTTTCTGCGAAGTCAGTTTTAAATACCTGAGTACCCTTTTGGCGGCAGTCCATGTCGTCTCCGTAGGCTTGTCTAAATATTAGCTTAAATACGACGTTGCAAAGGTAATATCGGGGTGTGAAATTGTACAAATATATATGAGACATCCAATTAATTCTCGATAAGGCACAACAATTACACTTTCTTCTTCTTTATTTGACATTCACTGTTCCATAGGATTCAAAGTTCCTCTGCAATCCGCCATTCCAAACTTCTCTAATACCTTCTCTATCAATTTTGTTTGACTGATTTTCAGTTTTTCACCTTCTCTTTTTATTTCCATGCCTAAGTATTCTCTTACTTCACCCAAGTCTCTTACTATAAATTCTTCTTTGAGTTTATCAATTGTCTTCGTTATTTCGGCAGTTTTTCCAGTTAATAAAATATCGTCGACCCAAATAAGTAACCATACAGTCGTTTTGAAGAGCAGACAGAAATCGTGTTTCGACTGTTCAAATCCTTGTGTTGCATTTTGTGTGCTTCTGTCAATCCGTAAAGAGATCTGTGTAGCTTTAGTACTTTTCCAGTTGACACTGACCCCTTCGGGAGGCTTTATGTAGACTTCTGTGTGAAGGTAACCATTTAAAAAAGGCTGTTTGAACGTCCAACTGCTTCATGAGAAGATTTTCTTGTACTGTGTAACTAAGCATAGTTCTTATCGTTGAGACTCTCGCAACTGGTGAGTACACATTATGTATGTCTTCCGTCTGGAAGCCTTATGCCACCAGTCTTGCTTTCTTTCTTTCATCTTGCTTAGTTTTGAATATCTATTTGATAACTATTGCTCTCTTGTCTTATGGTAGTTCCGTTTCTTTTCATGTATTCATCTCTTGTAGTCTCTGTATTTCCGTCATTTATCGCCTTTTTCCAATCATCTCCGTTATTGATAGCATCTTTGTAAGTGAGCGGGTCTGAGTCAGCTAATAAGCAGTAGGCAATGTTTGCATCATACATTTCATCATCTGCTGTATAGTATTCTTCAAATCGAGTTGGCGGTTTTCATATTCTGCGTGACCTTATTGTAGTTTCTTTTTCTACTTCTTGTGCTACTTCATTTGTGTTTCTTTCTTGTTGTCGCTCTGGCATTCTTCACTCGTTTTGCGCATTTGTGCACTCTTTGTTTTCACTTGTTTCCTCTCTCTCCTCTTCCTCTTGAAAGTTCTGTTTAAATATATTTTCTTAGTTCTGTTCATTGACTTATATAGTCATTTTCATCAAAACGTACATAAGTACGATGTACGTACATGAGGGATGTACAAACGTACATCCCTCGGTACAAATATTTTATTTGTTTTATGTTCCTATAAGCGATATTCATTAGGTCAATATCCAACCATTCGCATGTCTCTGGCTCTTGGTTCGAGTTTGTCTCCTCTGGGCATGGTGTTACCAACGTTTTGCTTCCAAATAGTCGTGGTCTTGATAGGTTTGTTCTACGTCTCATTATAGCTTCTGGAGTTTCTAAGTTGATAGCTGTAGACGCGCATCTATTTAACTGATAAATCGCGCACGCAATAGCCTCTCCCCATAAATGCTTGGGTAAACTAGTCTCTAGTAATAGTGTTCTTGCTCTGTCGTAGTGCCCTATTCATCCGCTCGGACACGCCATTTTGTTGTGGAGAACAGGGCAGCGTGTACTGGATCCTTATTCCCCGATCTCTGCAAACATTTTCAAATTAGAATTTTTTAATTCACCTCCATTGTCACAGTGAATTTTGTTTACTCTAATTCCGTTCTCCGTCTCGAGTCTTCGGATATAATATATTAAATTGGATGTTGCTTCGCTTTTATGTCTCAAAAGATATGTACTACAGAAATGGGAAAAGTCGTATATCACTACTTGATAGTAAAGTTCACCATTAATTCCAGGTGTACGTATCGGACCTGCAATGTCGGTATGAATTAACTCACCTATGTACGTTGATCGTGGCCTCTTGATTGGCACGAATGGTGGTCGAGTCGCCTTACTCATCACGCACGGGTTGCAGGGTTTGTCACTAGTTGGTATCACAGTCACATCCAATGTAAACTTCGTCGATTGAGATGCCCTAATCTTCTGGGCCACAAATCATTTTTTTTTAATAACGCACACACCTAACATAGCCCCGCTATAGGGAAACCCTGTATCGCGGGTGCCATGGACACACACACAGACAACCACAAATTATACATAAACTCACGAGAGGAATAAATGTAGGCCATTCAAATATTTCTCGCGGCTCGGAAATCGAACCAGGGTCCTCTGCGTGTCAGTCGGCATAGCAACGTTTGATCACGAAGGCAGTTAAATCACCTATGCTATCGGTTTTGTACAATTCGCTAAACATGCCTCAGCATTTAAAATAAATAAATTCCTTATTAAGGAACCAAACACATAGGAATTCAAATTTCTCCTATTTATTATTACAATTCGTTTACTAAAAATTGCTTGAAAATCGTTTTGTGTTTTGTACCATCTTTTTGACTGACATTAGATTGAATGACAAATTTTTGACAATTAATGATTCTAAACCTTAGACTTCTTTTTTTTTCATCCTCTAGCCTCCAGTCTTAGACTATGGAAACTTATTTTTGCGTTGTTGCACGTCATTGCTATGCAGCCTTTTTCTCAGCAAGAAGAAAGTCCCCATTGGCTATGTATATCTTGATAGGATTCTCTAAAGTTGTTATGTTGGTGATATGTTCTTCAAAATGTTCGATGCATCCTGAATCAATGACCCATTCGATGGTTTGGTTATTCGTTTTTGGATGTTTGTTAAAGTTTCTTATGGTCAAGAATGTGTAATTGTCGCGTCCTGCTTCATCTATTGCTATGTGACCATATTGTTTCGAGTGTCGTGTATATGCTCGGTGTGGTCGATACTGAGCATATACAAGTCACTCGAAACACCTACTCTACCACGTCCGCGCCAATGGTATTTGTGACAGTCCCTAGATATACGTCCCTGTTTGTTACATTTGAAACATGTTACGAATGCCATACCATTTCCTGGTTGTCAGATGCCGGCGGAACATTTTTTTCATGGATCTTAAGCTCCTCGTCAAGTAGTCTTGCTCTTACAAACTCTAACTTTAATGAAGTTCCCTGAAAATCTGTGTTGCGCTCTATGGCAGTTATTACTGTATCATATGTTTCTTGTAGTTCAGTTAGTAGGTACGCTATCTTTCCACGTCCTGTTAAGCAGTCTCTGGAGCAGTCCAGCTCTCTCGTGATATTGTTAAATTTTTCAAATAGTCTTCTAGCTTTTCTTTGTGCGATTGTTTTAAATTTATTAGTTTTCTTCTTAGTTGTATGACGGTCATGATTCTTTTTCTTCGGAATATTTCTTTTAATGTATTTATCATTTCATTGGGCCTTTTGCAATTCTTCACAGTATTTAGGTACTTATCAGGTGCGCATTGCAAAATAATGTTTTTGGCCTTTGCGTTTTTTCGATTGTGTGTTTTTTGTTCACTCATTTTACTTACGTTTTCATTTTTATATTATTTATTTCTTCGTTTCTTTTCTTCACTTCCATATTTTTATATTGCACTTCCTCCTTTATTTTATTATATCGTATTCTTTTCCTTTTCTCCCATAACCTATTAGGTATATACGATTTATATTAAATCTTAGACTATTTTCCATCCTCTAAGTATTAAATACAAGGGTAAGTAATAAGTTCTTCAGACGTCATGTTTGAGTGGTATTATTCATTTTCTTTCTTCTTTTTTATAAAAACAATAAAACCTCAACAGGAAGAAGTTATCAATTAATATTTGGTGGTTTTAACAACTCCATGTCACTCCTTGTAGCCGTAATACAAATGTAGGGCAACTGAAGGTAGGACGGACCACTTAAGGAAAATTCGACTGTAAACAAAAATCAACGGCTTTATTATCATTTGTTTAACGTTATATAATTGAGCATTTAGTTATCTTATATGCCTATAACCAATACTTAAAGTAAATCACAGATTTAGAAGATATTGGATGATTTCCAAAACCCTCGAATTGGTCCGTTTTGCCTTCACGTCGAGGTAAAACGGATCACGCATGAAGGTAAAAAGGACCTACAGAAATATAAGCAAAAAATTAAGAATTAGTGCACCTACGCGGAAGCTCACCTTTCACAAACAAACCTAACATCTTGATCGTTATCCTCAACACCGGCACAACTACAGTGTGCCCATAAAGAACATTCTGGACACTGAACCCATCCTTCAATTGATTCAGAAAATAAATGTGACCAATAAAAGCATCTAACATCTTCCTCTGCTTTGCTGGAACATGTATAGCTTCTCTTTTTAGTAATTTTTTCAGTGGATTTCCCTTTGCCTGGTCGAGTCTTTACTGTCCTTTTCCCTTTATTTTCTGCGAATAAACTCTGCTTTGCCGTCTTTGCTCTTTGTTTCTTCTCTTGAGTCTTTTGAAGCGATTCTAATTCTTCCCGATAAGGTAATGATGTTAATTCAACCGTCTGTCCTCGCCTAATAGTAGATCGAGTCCGTTTTGA